GAGATCTCTTCGTTCCTCCAAGGCGTAACACTTCTAATATCTTGCTCTTGATCGAGATGAAATAAAAAGAAAAAAAACAGAAGAATAGTATAATGTTTCGTTAAATATTGTTTGTAACAATCCAACATGAACATTTATTTTAAATAATCGCTTTCGCGATTACGTCTGGCGAATTTTTTTTCCGTTCAGGAGACATCGATTTTAAAACGAAGGGATTTCTACCAAGAGAGATGGGGGCGAAAATCGAGACGAGATTTTCTGGCGCACGTCGCGCGAACTACATTATTGCAAACGTTCTCAAGCTCCGAATTACACGCGGCTCTCTCGGGTGGAAATATATCGTCTTAAGGAAAAGGGAATCTCCTCCGTATTAGGAAGTTTTTCGCTTTTTCAACGTATACCTGTTGCTATTTTCGGACTTTTATCCCGGACCCGCCGCAACACCTTTACCCGTCAAACAGGGCGTGACGTCCGCACCGGTGGCGGCGTTGGCGGAAGTTTAAATCTCGTGGGCGTCCGAGGCGACGAGGAGAGAGACCGCGGACCAGCAGTCGCTATGGTGACCATGATTTTGCCCCGTGACGTCACGAGTCACGACAACACGTGGCGCCTCCCGCCCCGTCCCACGCAAGTTTTCCCGATTAGTGATTTTTCAGTGTTGCGTCATCGCCACACGTACACACACACACACACACACACACACACATGGCGATTCGAACACACACACACAGCTTCCGCGCTTGCACGCACCTCGACAGCGTCATCGAGACACTTCGACGTTTCCGACGTGACGTCACTCGCTACGCATCACATGCAGCTCGATATCGGCTTTCTAAGTGGTTTATGCCGGAACCATGTGATATACACTTGCGATGTAAATTTTGCATGTGTGAGATGTGAATCTGTGCTCGAGAGTTTACACAATGCGATACGTATATAAGATCGCTACACACACACACACACACACACACACAGATATATCGTGATCGATAACGAATCTTTTTTTGTTCTTTTAATAAAATCGACTCACGCGCGACATTTTTCTGCGAAAGTGGTACGCGAAAGAGGACGCGCTATTCGATTTTAATATATTATTTGATATCAAAAAGAGAGTCTCTTTTTTTTTCCTTTTTCTCTTCGCGAGAGAGCGCTAATAACAGAATTGGCAACAGGTACGAAGATAGCATTGCAAAGAGACATTTGAAAAGTTTATATAAGCTATCAAACACACACACACACACACACACACACATACACACACACACACACACACACACACACACACGAGTACCATAAGCAGTATCTCCTCTCCTTCCGTCTCTCTCCTCCCAACGTGCCACGTACACAAAATTTACTACGCTCCTTTCTGCCGTTTCATCGGCAGAGAAATTCTCTCCCCGATAGATTATCAAAGTCGGTTATCAGAACGGATCAACTTTCGAGTTAACGCAAATAAACGGCGCTGTACGTTGCACTTTGTAGTCACAGACAATTTACGATGCTTAGCTCGACCGGCGTTATTAATAGAAATAACGCGGTAAACGCGGTGATAACGGCTCGGCCAAGTATTTCTCCGAGGATTTTCTGACTGACGTCATCATGAGCGGGCGAATGGCAGCACGTGCCACGGTGGTAACAGTCTGGCGGCGCGAAGCGTTTTACGACGTATATCACGGTATTTTATGATGTCGAACACCCTGCGCGCGCGCGGATCGGCCGTCTCCAAAATCGGCCGCGCCGTTGAAATTTTACGAGCCGGAATGTATTCCGGAAAACATAAGTGAGTATCGCGTGGACGCGCTGCCGCGCGCCGAGAATCGATCTCTCTCGCTGCCTTTCTATTAAATCTACGCGGTAATAGTGACGGCACAGAGCAGTGCGTGCGTGCGTGCGTGCGTGCGTGCGTGCGTGCGTGCGTGCGTGCGTGCGTTTATGCAAGCAGAGTATACAGAGTACTGCGCTCTGAACACTTTGTACATATTTCATTTATAAACGTATCGGCTGATCTGAGAAGCTCAATGTACTCGACAAAAATCCGAACGTCGCGCCGTTTCCCAATTGACCTCTTGACCCACGTTGACGTTGGACAATTCGTCGACACATTGTTAGAGAGACATTTAAAAGTTTCATTCGAAGACACGCCGAAAGACACGATTTATTTCTTTTACACAGACAAACTTCCATCGGAGAAGCATCCAAGCGAGGAGAGGAGGATTCAAAAGTACTTTTACAACGATCTTTCTAATTTTGTCGTAACTGCGTTTCTAACGGCTAACGTCGATAACGTGTGAAGATGCAGATAAGATAGAAATTTCTTTGTGCTCGCGACTAGTCACTAGTGATGTCATTAGTAACGAGTGGAGGGTCATGAGAGAGACAGACAAAGAGGGAGAGAAGGGGGAGGGGCAAGGAGGGAGGGAAATATTCCGTTAATTTGATGGAACTAATATGTAACCAGTGCCTAAACACGAACCGAAGTACGGAACTAATATTGACCCAATATTGAACTAATTGGATTCGTCGCAAATCGAAGGAGCTGCCACGCGCGGTGGTAATGTAGAAGCAATTTTTTCAGCAATTACCCAGCAGCAACGCGGGTTATCTCGGAATTTTTGTCGAGCGACCGATTCGCGAGATCTCCAGGGGAACATCATTTCCCCTCGTATATCGCGACTAATACGATTCGATTCGCGGCCTAATCGCGTTTCTCGGACGATGCAGACGGCGCGCGTTTCATGAATGTAGCTAGGTCATCGATGGAGGTCAAATTCGATATCGGAGAGAAGCGAGCACGGACGGGGGAGACTTTGCTTTCGTAAGGCGCGCGCGCGCGCGCGCGCCATCTTGGCGCGAGGGAACGATTCTACGGAGAATAGAGCTCGCGTAATCTCGATTCGTGACGTATCACCGTGATATCGCGACTGACAGTTCCGAAAAGCGCGATTACGTCAGCGGTAAATGCTGGCTAGTTGCGAGAATCAGAATCGTGTCGTTGAGCGATACGAGCAGCTGCATAGTGTCGCCACCTGACGAGAGAGCTTCGAGCTCTCTCGGGTTATCTCGGTTGCGCGCGTCGGTTTTACCGACGAGGTATGGACGAGACATCGATAAAATACCGACACTGCCGGCTTTTTCTTCCACATAACCGAACGAATAACTCAACTTTTGATACGTGAAATCCATCATAGAGAAGGTAAATTCTCATAAGATAAAATAAATAAATAATGTCTTTTTTAACAATGTCTCGTGGCTAGTGCCCGAAATTAATAATAATCCATCCGACTTACCTCATCGTTATTCACCGAATAGCTGCCTTCGGCGAATCGAAAACGTAAGACGCAGCAAATTCTCAGAATTGCCATGGCAGGAAGGCGACCGGCGTCTTCACCTCGTCTTCACTTCACCTCTTCGTCTTCACGCCGCACTCCTAATGATTTTCTCACTTTCCGCGTTTCGCAGGCACTTTTTACACTCTATACATACACTTCTCATAATCACTTGTTGATATTTCGTCCCAACGAACGCGCGACATTTTTTTCTCGGCCTACTACCGACACTGATTCTCTCGCACGCGTGACTCGCATTTCACGAATCCAAGTTCCGAGAAGCACCTGACGCGAATTAGTGGAATTCTAGCCGCTTTCGGTCCCACAGCCGCGAGTCGCTCCCTGCGATTCGGTTGCGATCCTCGACATCTCAGATAACACGAGACGTCCCGAGACACTCCTCAGGACATCCTGAACATGTTCCGGATGGCTTTGAGACATGTTGTGCTATCTGAGGAATGACGCGCGACAAGTTCACACAGCACTCCCGCGACCACCGACCTCGCGGGATATACTTTCGCCGGCTTCTTAACGATGACTTTACGATGACAAACTCGCGAAATTCACTTTTGGCGAGGACTCGCGCACGAAATTCCTCCGGAGAGTCGGAAATGTAAAGACTGGCAATTTGAACCTCGAACCATCGCCGACGCCGACGCGCTATACTTGGACGTTCTCGAAGGCACGTTGCACGAGATGTTCGCTTTCGGCGACCATCTAATCGTACTTTACCGTATAAAGTGTATACTCGGCGATAATCAACACGCGAAGCTTCCTCTTAGCCAACTGGAAACATGGGAAGTACGGGACAGCTTTTTATACGCGTCTAACTCGGCCAGCTCGGCGACCGTTTTTCTAACTAACCATAATTCATTGCGAATATTGAGTTTCTCGAAGGGCAGTACCGAATCGCTGGGCGCGATTCGGTACTGGCCAATCAGAGCGATCTATTCATTTTTGAAACGCCATTCAAATACGTATCACGTGATCGCATTTGCGGTAACCTCACGTCGCTTCGCAGTAGCTGAGGTTAACGATCACGAGTGCTCCTCTCGTGTTTATAATCTTTTCACGCGTCGAAGAAATATGTCGTGCGCGGACAAATATCGGGAGAGTGTCGATCAAGTGACGGGGCAATCACGGGTTTAACATCTCAATCGGCCTGCGGGTGTGCGACTGAAGGAGACGTCTTCTGCCACCGGCACGTAACGTCGCGTCATGTTTAAAGTGTGAACAAGATGACGATTACTCCGTGTTTCGGTGAGTGCATATTCTTTTTGTTCGCATTAATGTAGAGAGCTAACCAAATTCGTCGTTGTCCCTGACGAATCGAGGGCTTTTTGCCGGGAGAACGGATGAAAATGATGCAAATGGCTTCACGAAAATCTACGTTTAACATTATTGTGCCGTGCATGTTCGTACATATTTTCGAAATGTATGGACGACGATAGGTAATAAGATGCATGATATAAAGATAATATATGGCAATTGGGAAGTATCATACTTTGATTGATAATAAGAAATTTTGTGAGTATTGGCAGTTTGCAGATATTGATTCGTGATATGAATGTTATATTACATATCTCGTGAAAATATCTTTTTTACTTCGTAATTCGCAATTTGTGCAAAAGTGCATATAATTGACAAATTTTGTCATACGATGGCAGCACTTACTGCTTCAGTAATCGGTTACGGAACGAAACGGCTGACGGCTCGAAGCAGCACCCACATAACCTCACTCTTTGATTACACCTTGTTCTTACATCCAAAAGATTCAAGTCAATTGCAAAGGTGCTCTTTAGCTCGTATAAAATAAAACATGTTTCGTTTTGGAGCCAGATGTTCCCTTATCGTCAGGAGTTTCAGCACAAAGCACGATGAGATCAGCAATCTTGTTAAAGTAAGTGGACGATACCGACGAATTTTTCTGTGCATTTTTCGCTTATGTGTGTGTCAAGATTTTCTTATTTGAAATATATGATAATTAAGTGTAAGAGTTGCTAAATGCGATACAGTAAGTCAGCATACGATTTTTCTACAAAGTTTTTTTATAGTTTATGTACCATAGAGAAGCTACCACGGAACAAGCTTAGAGGCTTTCAATTTTTATTAATAAATACAATGTCATGTCTATTGTACGATAGATATATATCACAGTATTACACAAATTGTCTTATTGCAGAAAAATAAAGTAGTTGTCTTTATGAAAGGTGTGCCAGACCAGCCAAGGTGTGGGTTCAGTAACGCTGTAGTGCAGATACTACAAATGCATGGTGTTACTTATGATGCTCATGATGTTCTTAAAGATGAGAACCTCAGACAAGGTAGACAATTACAAATATATACATAATATTTACCACAAATTTTATAGAACAATATTCTTAAAACATACAAATTTTATACATACATTTTTTTCTCTCTGTTCTTACATGTATATAAATTTAAAAAATATAGTTAATATATTTTCTACCATTATACTAATTATATCAAATTATATCTTAACTGTATTCTTAAATTGATTACTTAAAATATATTGTACAACAATTACTTTAATTAATTAGGTATAAAAGATTTTTCGAATTGGCCTACAATACCTCAAGTATTCATAAATGGCGACTTTGTGGGTGGCTGCGACATACTTTTAGAAATGCACAGAAGTGGCGAGCTCGCTGAAGAATTGAAAAAAATTGGAATTTCAAGTGCTCTTCTGCGGAAAGAAGAATCTTCCTCAGGTGATACCAAAGGATCCACGGAATAGGTTCAAATTAACTGACTTGTACATAAGCAAATGACTGTTTCATATCAATAGTGTCTCTTTTATTGTAATAAACGTTTTTGTTAATGTTCATGGTATATATGAATCAATGTCAATCAATATCTGTGAACTGTTGATTCTCACAAAATTTCTTCTTGTCAGTCAAAGTATGAAGAGATATTGAAACATTGAATTGTTACATTTTTTTAAGTTCATTTCGTAAAATTTTCCCTACCGCACTTTTCGGGATACTCTCCACAATTTGTACATATCCCAACTGTTTGAACTTAGCTACGTGTTCGGCGACAAATTTCTTCAGTTCATCCTCATCGATCTTCATTCCCGGCTTAGGAACTACGAAGGCTTTCGGAATTTCGCCGAATTTATCGTGCGGCACTCCAATAACGGCTACATCTTGTATCTTATTGTAAATGCGAATCACCTCTTCGAGTTCGGCCGGGGCAACTTGAAATCCTTTTACCTTTATCATTTCTTTGCATCGCCCTTGCACGTATATAACGCCTGCGTTTCACAATGCAATCAGTCATTTCTAATTTCCCGCGCGATACTACCATTTTCTAAAGTATCCGATTAAATTAATCGTTGCTTACCCTCTTCGGTGTAATAGCCTAGATCGCCAGTTTTATACCAATCCCCGTCCATAGATTCCGCCGTACTCTCGGGGTTTTTGAAATATCCTTTCATTAGTTGCGGCCCTCGTACGTATATATGCCCGATGTCGTTCGGGCCCAAATTCTTGTCGCGATTATCATCATTGTATCCTACGACTCTGAGCTGCGTGTTCGGCAACACATAGCCGCTAGATGCCAGCGGTGCGGTACCGTTATTCAACGAAATAGCCGGAGATGTTTCCGTCATGCCGTATCTTCGTGAATTACATTTCAACGGTGAGAGACATTTCACGTTGTTGCGTATGATCGTATCATAATAATTCTTTTCTTACCCTTGACAAAAGATGATGGAATTGTTGGTACGCTTTTGAAACATCGCGATAGATTCACTCCGTATGGGTGCCGCTCCCGACAGTACCGATTTTATAGTTTCGGTATGACGCGGTGTTATTTGTTCATTATTAATTAACATTTGTACTATCGACGGTACGACATGCAACTGCGTCGGCCGATATTGTTCTAGTATCCTTATGAATTCGTTTACGGTAAATTGCGGCACGCACACCAATTTACCACCGATTCTGGAAACGTAGAGCATATGTACGCTATCATGATCAGATTGCAACAGAGATTTAGATTTTTTCAGTCTCATAGAGTTCAACAATGAACGATCACATTTAGCGAACATAGGCTGTAACATATATGGTATATATCGACATAACATACCGTAAGTAACTACTCATAGCAAGAACCAGTCCAAATATGTGATACAGTGGTAATATCACGGGTATGACATCCTGATAGGATTCAGTAGTTTCCGTTGCAGTAAAGAGTCCCGAATGTAGAAGTTGTGTAATATTCGTCACAATGTTCCTGCAATTTCCATACTCCAATTACTCACATTGTAATACTGCAAATCAGACACTCCAAGTATTTTGTTTTAATTAAAATATCTGACACGTGATCGGTTTGTGTACCTATGTCTCAACTCGACTCCCTTTGGCAGACCAGTCGTGCCGCTAGAATAGGGCAGGTATACCGTATCTTCGGGACTGACTCCAGTTGTTTGACTAATTGAAAATTCCTCAATGTCGTCGCGTATTAAATCGGTAAATTTGATCGTCCCTGAGATCGAGGTAGTGTCGATGCTGTCGTTTGCGATAATAATAGGTAATTTTATATTTGGGTTTTCCTTAATACTCGCTTGAACATCAGCATGTTTCGCTGGCGACGTTATAACCGCCTTAGTATCCGATAGTTTCAAAAAGTTCTTTATCTCGTACACTGTGTATGTAGAGTTCAGCGTGGTTAGCTGCAAAGAAAAAGAAATAAACCTTCCACAACAGAATACAGTATAACATAGAACAGAACATATCATGATTACGTGTACTACGAATATATAATATCATATGAATGTGATGTGTGTAATAATAGAATCGCAATTGAATGAATGAGCTGAAACAACGACAAAGAGAGATCTCAGAAATTTAAACAAATATTTTTATTAGACATTCTTACAACGACACTCTAATAGACAGTCTAATAACACCAACGTTTATTCAACATGTTTTATTATTTCGTTACAAATTGACTACTTTGTGGGAGTTCAGAAGTTTATGATACACATGGGTATAATCTCATTGAGTCATAATCTTATATTTATATTTTCTGAGTTGCATAATGTGTCGCAAACATGATAAATTTCTCTTACGGTTAATCCGGCTTCACTCGTCGCTAACGCAGTAATAACAAATTCTGGGATATTTGGCAAAACAGCGGCGACAGTGTCTCCAGGAAGCAGATTACACTTTCTGAAACTTGTTGCTAGTTTACCGCAAGCCTTCCTTAATTGACTATATGTATACGATCGACCAGTTACTGAGCATACCTGGAACCACGTGTAAAAAAGTTAATTGCATATGTTATCGTTTATATGAATCTTTGCGCCGACCTTCGTCGGCATATACACTTTGCGCGTCACCACAATTTGTACACGACTCTTTTAACATACCAGTGTATGTTAAAAGAGTCGTGTACAAATTTTTTCTCTAACAATACATTTGTACAATGACGAAACCGTTAAAAAAAGACTCCCGGCTGAAGTAACAGTCAGCGGTGTAATAAGTAGACTTCAAAAGTTTTGTAATGTTCCGCGTCACATACATACATACACATATACACAAAGAAATATCCCCATCAAATTTTCAAACACTTAGAATTGATGTTACTACCTCCTTCAATACTATGTCTATCGTTTGACTTATGATGAATATATTGAGCAATTTCCACGCGATTTAATGAGGTATTTTGTAATTTCTCACTATCGATACCGATGCCAATAACATTTGCAGATGATATATGTCTTGTATGTGTGTGTATATGTGTATGTGTATATATATAATGTGTATGTGTATATATATATATATATACTCACTACAGCGGTCTTGTTTGGCCATTTTCCTATATTCTCCCATACAAAGTCGTGCACGAAAACATTATCGGTGCCCTTGACATCGGGAAACGCACTACTCACTATGTTTTGCGAATCGAGTTTTAACTTACTTGCAGTTGCATAATAGCGATGTATTGCAAATTTTTTTAAACGATATTGTGCTTCTGCAACGTACAAACTTTGTGTAATATAAGGATGCTGCGTTAATTTTAGTATTCGTGACATTGCTATCAGCAACTCGTCTCGTTATGAGCGACCTCACTATGACTGAATAGAAGCAGTTCGTAATACAGTTACTTACGTCTCTCTTCCTGTCTCCCTCCCTCCCTCCCTCCCTCTCTCCCTCTCTCCCTTCCTCCTTCTCTCCCTCTCTCCCTTCCTCCTTCTCTCCCTCTCTCTCTCTCTCTCTCTCTCTCTCTCTCTCTCTCTCTCTCTCTCTCTCTCTCTCTCTCTCTCTCTCTATCTCTATCTCTATCTCTATCTCTATCTCTCTCTCTCTCTCTCTCTCACCCCTACCACATATCCAGAATGCAATGTTCACAGAATGCTGCCACTACTGAAACTCTAGAATGTATATTTTCCGCACGGGAATTTAACATGGAGCTTTCGTAGATTTTATTGAAATTATAGTCCGATAATATTGACACAATTCATCTATATATTTACACGCTGTTAAAATATTTAATCTCCAAACATTCTTTTATTTTCGTTCTATTGTTATGGAGCAAAGAGATGTTCGGTTCCTAGCTTTGCTAGCGTTTTTTAGGCTAATTAAGAAATGATAATTTATATAGATATAATTATATAGCGGGAGATTGATTGGCTATCGCGTCTTATACTATTGTATTTACGTTAGTTTCTCATCTATGAAAGCCTCTTATATATGGAGGGTATTTAAAAAAAAAGAGTAGGCTAGCTATATGTAATTATATTCTTCTCATCAAGATAGACGAAAAAATCGTATAAAAATAGTAACAATTTTGATTATGAATAATTTATGAAGCAATTAAGAGCAATATAAATGCTTAAGAAGTTTACTCACGACACTCGTAATTATGTTACAAAATTTTAATTAAAATAAAAATGAAAGATATATTGTTAAATGAAAATTATATTGGCAATATTACAATATTAGAATAGGTCGATTCATAATTTCTTAATAATTAAAGTTAGTAATTAGATTAATAAAAAAAATTGATTTGTTCTGCTATAAATTTTTCGGCGATAAGTCGACTGATAATTTTATTAATTTCTGATAAGCGAGCGGTGCTTTGAGCTCCAAAGAAGACGTTCGTAATTATTATCGTATCTTCCGCGAGTATAATGACTTTCCTGCTCCGGAGGGAAATTCTTAAATTCTCACAATCGTTCAATCAAATCGAAAATCCGAAATACGTAAAATCGCGTGCGTGGTCCAAAGGGAACGTGATACATCACTCTGTTCAAACGTCCGTTCCGTTCTACCTTTCACCTCGTAATCCCGAAAGATCACAGCTATTCGATATTTTTTTTCAAGGAACACATGTGCGAGAAATCTGGGTTAATATATTGCCTTCGGTCTCACGCAAGTCCAAAGATCAAATCCGCTTAAAAAACGCAAACTCTCGCGAAGGAAGACAAATAGGTGAATTTATTCCCGTCCGCCGTTCGTCCGACGACGTTCGCGCAGTTGTGCAGATGTGTAAATCGCCGAATCGCGTGTCGCTACCTTTCTTGCATTCTGTTCGCCCTTTCATTTGTATGAACCGCCACTTTTGATTTCTTTTTTTCAGTACATTCTCGCTACACTTGCTACAGTTTCGACCTTTACGGAGTCTCGAAGTTGATCCTTCTCGAGATCCTTCAGTCGAGTTCGATCAGTGATCAGGATCCTGACTATTAAATCAATTAATATATTTAAATTAACATTTAAATTCTATTTTTTATATTTTTGGTTGATTTCATGGCAAGCCAACCGACTAACGAAACTCTATGTTGTGCTTCTTAGCGATGTCTTGTGTCAATAATTTCTTATCAACAATTTCTTATCAGCAATTTTTTATTTTAGTCATTCCTTATCAATAGTTTCTTTTACTGCTTCAAATCTTGAGAAACCCCACCTCGCATATCGCACGAATCGAATTTATTCAACAGATGCGACCACAATTTTGTTTGTTTGCTCGCCCAGCATAACAGCACCCGACTTGTTGTCACGGCTTGCACCATTCGTCAAACAAGGCCTAGAAGGCCAGCTTTATTTTCCTATATACATGGCTTTGTTGTTCTCGTTGGGCATATCATAAGAAGAAAATAAAATATAAATTAATAAAATATTACGCATATCTTTTCGCACCAGTGTGAAAGTTTAATTTGAAAATTCAGTGAAAGCAGCATTGTAAAAGTTTGTACGTTGTAACCCTCACAGTTATATTAGGCGCTTGCAAAAGTCCATTAGATGTTAAAGTTATTTTTATTTATTAATAACAATGAGAGATGACATATAATATTTTAATCAAAGTATTGCAAAGACCGCTGCTACCAATAATCTTTTATCATTTTTCGGGCAATAGTTCGATCCCGCGTCCATGAAATGGACTCTCTCGTATGTGGAAATAATCCATTTATTGATCCATTTTTGCATTTTCTCAGCATTTCGAGACCGTTGGTCCCTCACAAAAATCTTTTCTTTCGTGACTGGCAAGCAATGAGGAATAATAGAAAGTATACTGGTTTACAATCGTGTTTGTAGAAAGTTCATATGAGGGGAAAGCTATCTTCTTCCCTTCTTTCTTTTTGAATCTTTCCCATTGCTTTCAAATAGCGGGATACCGTTGATTCATTAACTCCAAGCTGCCCTGCGAGCTTTTTTGATGTTCGGACCAAGTTTTCGTTGCGCAATGCTTCCAATTCAACTTGTTCTCCATCTCGTTTGGACGATCAGAATGTGGCTTGTCATTGACGTCGTATTCACTATTTCTAACCCTGTTGAACCACGTTTTGCAGGCAGCAGCGGACACAATATTCTCCATAGGTCTCACAAATCAGTCTCTCAGTTGTCGCAGCAGTTTTATTTTGATTAAAGTGATAAATCACGCAGTGGCGAAGGTGGACTTTATTTGGTTCCATATTTAATCGTGTTAAACATAACATTTTGTTAGAAACTATGAATTGTCAATCATCAATTTTAATCGAGTATGACCAACATTAAAAGATTAGAAAGCAACTTAAAGGAAAACAGTTGACTAAGTCGTTGCTACATCTGTTCGTGATTTTATGTGAACTTTACAATACAAATATTTAATATTTCTAAATAAAACGTTTCGAAAAAATAGTATCAGGCGAAAAAGTAGTAGATTACGTGCTGCATTACGTGCGTATAGCAACTACTATGTGTCTAGAGCTCTGCTGCATTTTTTGTCTCGTCACTCTTCGCGGTAAATATTGCAAGTATTTCCTGGTAACATTTATCATCATAAGATAAATAATAATAATTCAGTAAATACACACCTCTTATCTATTAACGTATTATTATCTTTGATTGATGATATTTGATTGATTTTATGATCATATTGTCTGTCTGACAATTTTTTCTCGTTATTTGAACGAGACGATGTCTCTTTGAATGTCTTCCTTTCATTTAAGTTGTTTTTCTTTCTCGTGAAAGTATATCTCTGCCACTTATCTAATATAAGCGTATCTTATTTTAATGCTGAAGCTGCTGTCGCTATATTTGCATTGCTATTTGTGTACGTTGGTGAGGCTTTGTACATTTATCGCGAACTCTTTTTTTCTTTTCATAACTTTTTTTTCTTTTCGTAAAGACACGACTTCGATAAAACATATTTGTGCACAACAGGGAAATATTGCGTTTCATAAAAATAAGATATTTTATTGATATAAATTTTTATATAAATATTTTTTATTTATATAAATAATTTAAATTTGACTATTTATATAAATATTTTAAATTTGAATAAATGTATCACCCAAGGTTACTTGTAAAAGAATAGTTAAAGACACTTATTTACAATTTCTTAATATTTAACTTCAGTTAAATATGGACATGATATTAACCCGTAACTGCTGTTCTCCGGTCAATTTGACCATTGCACTATTTGAAATTTAAATAACGCGATTAATTTTCTAATCATCCGTCAGTGTATTTTCTTACATTCTGAATGTCAGTCGACTGATTATACGCGCAGTTGTGTGGTCGTGTTATTTGTCAAGATATTCATCAATTCCGTTTCCTACCGGTCAATTTGACCGGTGAACAGTGTGTGCGTACTTAAAATGGCTTCACAGCAGTCACGGGTTAATCTTACGGTAACTTCGATTGTTGTAGAGTGATAGGTGAGTGTCCGAAATATTTTATATTTAAATGTGCTTAATTGATTGTGCAAATGTCATTTCCTGTTTTGAATAAATTTCTTTATTTCTTTATTATAAATCAAGATGTGGCTGCGATGTATATTCAGGAGCCTTAAAGACGAAAAATAAGAATGTCTGGAATCAGATATGTATGTCCCGATATTGGCATTATCATTTTATGTTTTGTGATTTTTTTGTCTCGCGTCGCGTCGTTGCGTGCAGATTTTCGAGTTTCAGATAAGAAAAAACCGCTCTCTCAATTGGATTAGGGATCGAAAAACAAGAACATTTCTTAACAGGTGCGGCAAGGAAATATATCATAGAGTTCGATCGCGCGACGCCACTCCGCGAAAGCTCGGCTAAGGGATTTTCTATTTTCTTTTTTCTATTTTTCTTCCCGCTCAAAATTAATTACGTGCGATTTTTGAATGCTTAACGGCAACTTAACGCGTGGCTTCATTTGACCGTCATCCAAATCACTTGCTATGCACGTTCTATTTGACAAACGACAGACACCGTGAAATTTACGAGCGGACGGATTTGCATATCTCCGTGTTTTCGATAGAGAAAAGTGCGATTAATATGAAGTTATATTTGAAATTGCCGAAAACGTGATCGCTCATGTTACACGATAAGCCGAAGGAGTCGCGATTTTATTTCGACACGAAAGAATATTCAAACACGTGTGCACGCGTACGAACATATTTATGTATATTTTAATAAAATGTATCAGTAAAAGCAGCTATCTTGAAATACAGCTAGACAAAACCTAAATACAGGTTGCGTGAAAAGTTCGCGCAGCGAAACTGAAATAAAGAATACCTAATTCTACAAATGACTTTATTCTTCAATATAGTCTCCATTAACTTCAATACACTTGGCCCAATGGCTCTCCAATAATTTTATTCCATCGCGGAAGTGT